GCTGGCGACGGGGCGGGCACTTACCCATGGCGCACTCGTCCACGTCCTCCGTGCAGTCCGCCCCTCGGTAGCCCTGAGGGCAGGTGCAGATGTACTGCCCGTTGAGGGGGTTGGTGTCGCACAGTGCCCCCTTGTGGCAGGGGTTGCTGATGCAGGCGTCGTCCAGGTGGCACAAGAGGCCTGTCAAGGGGCATTAGGGGCGGGAGGACAGAGCGGTCAGAGGCGCAAAGGGAAAGCGTCCTCCCTTGGCGAGGCACTTACTTTCTCTATGGGAGAGGGACCAGCTACGACTGGCTCATCAAAACCCAGCATGGCGGTCAGAGGGAACGTCCCCCCTTCCCTGACCTTTCCCGAGGGGCACGTGGCCAGCCAGAGCAAGGAGCTTCTGCAGACCAGCCTCATCTCTGAGCCTGAGGCCTCAGCTGGACCCCTCCCCGAGGGCAGAGAGCTCACGGGCCGTCAGGTGTCACGGTTAGATAACGGAGAGAAAAGATGGAAACCTCTCTCCAGCAGTTCCACCAGCTGCAGGATGTTAATAACGGACGCCCGGTTCCACCTGACTTTCAAATAAATGGCAAATACTGTCTGCCACGTTTCAAACGTGGCAAGCATCCTCTATGTTATCTGACAACCTCCTTTCCCAAATCGGGGTGCCCTGGCCCGTGGGGCCGCCGGCATCTCACTAGCCTCACGGACAGCAAGGAGCCGCCCACCCGGCCTGCAGAGGAGCAACCCCTTCCCCGCCAACAGCCCCTGGAGCCATGAGGCCCATGCTGCACAGCTCTCCCGGGAACTGGACTTCCCCGTCTGCAGTTAACTCGGAGCAGGTAGCTAAGGCTTCTCCTACAAAGCGGGAGGCGGGCCTTTTGCAGCAGGACCCAGATGTGCACTGGCCTCAAGGGCTCTCCGATGAGCTGATGCTGTTTACTGTTGGGAATTTAAAATTTCTCCTCAGCGCGGCTTAAGCTATGCCCTGTTCAAACTGGTTGCATTGTTTTCTAGATGACATAAAGATTCGGTTGTCGTAGATGATGTGACTGGTACCAGCCCACCTGAAAGGTTTACAAAGGGAGCCAGCAGCAACAGGAACTCAGGCCAAGCGTTTGGTTTGTGTGACACTCACTTCTGAAGTCAACAGGCACGACGTGAGCCCCCTGCCACTTCTCCCGCGAAAGGGTTAAAGTCTGCTTTTGTCATGTACTAGCTGGGTGCTCCTGGGCAGCAGGCCGGGGGCACTTGGAGACCGCAGGGCACAAAGCCCCTCGGCCAGGCGACCTCTGGCTGCCGGCGCCGGGAGCCGCCCCGAGCTGCGCCGCGGTGGCGCCCACCGTCCCGGGGGCGCCTGCGGAGGCAGCGCTGGGGTGCGGGGGGCGTGTGAGAGCCGCTCGCCTGCCAGGTCCTGGCCCACGGGCCGCTCCTCCTCCACGTGACCCCCGCATCCACACGCTGGTACCGCGCCAGCTTCCGGGGAGTCAGGCCTCACTTCCGAGACGCGCTCGGCCTGACGCAGAGTGGGGCCCCGGCCCCGGGAGACCGGCGCCGTGTGGCCGCGGGGGGCAGGCCCGGCCCGGGCGCAGGGCAGACGCCGCCCGGTGCTCACCTGCCTTCCCCTCGGGGCACATGCAGGAGAAGGAGGCCACGCGGTCGATGCAGGTGGAGCCGGGGGTGCAGGAGGCGAAGGCACAGTCGTCGATGTTCTCGCCGCAGTCCTCGCCGCTCCAGCCGTTGACGCACACGCAGCCGTAGCCGCCGTTGCGGTTGGTGCAGGTGCCGCCGTTCTGGCAGGCGTTGGGCTGCAGCAGGCACTCGTCCACGTCCTCCGTGCAGAACTGTCCTTTGGGGGCAGGGCGGCTCTGGTCAGCGCGCTGTCCCAGGCGCCCGGGGCTGACCGCCAGGGTCTCCGCCCTCTGGGCCCTGCGGGAGGTGGCCCGGGGCCCGGGAGACGCGTCCAGGCAGGTGACACGGAGAAGGGCAGAGCCTGAGCCCGACGGCCCCGACAGGTGAGCCCGGGCCGAGCTGTGCCCGCGCACCCGGCACTCGCAGGCCCGGGCGGCGGGTCCGGACAGTGACTGGAGAGGGGGAGGGGGGCAGGCGCCCGCTCTCACCCACGGCCCACCCCGGGGGCGCCAGGCTGGCCCGGCAGAGGGCACAGCCCCCACCTGTGGGGGAGGGGCGGGCGGACGGAGCCTGGGAAGCGGGTCCGCGGGGCCGAGCACGTGGAGACATCCGCCAGGCGACGAGGGGCAAAGGGCGCTGGGCCGGGACAGGCGCGTCCCACCCAGGGGCGGAGGGGCGGGGTCTGGAGCAGCAAGCAGCTCAGGGCCGGACGTGGCTGCGGGTCTTCTCGGGGACCCGCTCTGAGCAGGGCAGCAGGCTGTGGGGGTTCTCACTCAGGTCAGCCCAAGTCCCACAACACATGCGACACGTGGCTGAGACACGACGCCCTCCGGCGTGCTTCTCGGACCGGACTGACCGGGCACCTCTTCTCCCCCTGGCCGAAGGCTGCACTTGCGCACATCCTTTCCGTACCCCGCTGGCCCCGCTCCTGCGGAGCGGGGTCCCTGCCCAGAGCTGTGCTCAGCGGCCCCTCGGCGTCCCCGGCTCACCCCGCCTCACCCGATCCCTGTGAGGTCACCCTGCCTCTCCCTGGCCACGCCCGCCCGCCCCGCCCGTCGGGTCCGGGCCGGCCTGTGCTGCCAGTGGTACCACTGCCTCTCTTCCCCCCTTTGCCCACCGTGAAGGGGAAGGAGAGAGAGGCTGGTCGGCAGAGGGCGTGTCGGGCGAATCAGAAACGCGCAGGAGACAACAGCGGTGGCGTTCAAGTCGCGGCTCCCAGCTGCTTCTGAGCCCCAACGCTCCCCAGCCACGCGTGGGCTCAGCGCCCGAGCGGGGTGCCTTCCAGCAGGCGCCCCGACTCTAGGTGGGGTCTGTGCGTCCCGCTCTGTCGCACACATGGACAGAGGCTGACGAGCGCCCACTGGCAGCTCCCGGCGACTGGGCCGCCAGCCCCAGGGTGGCTGTGCTGTGTCGGCAGACGGGCAGCACAAGCCAGGCGTGGTGCCCGCGAGCAGGGGCTGGAGGCGGAGGGACGGTGGCCAGCGAGGAGGGAAGCGCCTGAGCCTACACATGCTGGACTCTTGTCCCCGGTGCTGACGCAGACACCTGCGCTTCCCTCCACCAAACCCACTGGCGGCAGGTGGGTGGGTCTTTTTGTTCACAAAAATGTATGTGTTGGGCCCTCCCTGGTGGCGCAACGGATTAAAGCGCAGCCCCATGAAGCTCACCGCAGCCGCTTCAGCGCGAGTTCGATCCCCGGCCAGGGAGGGACCCCCAGGGCGCAGCACACCCCTCCTGTCTCCCCGCGGCCCCCTCAGCAGTGCGCTTCAGTACATCTGCCTCATCTGTTCTCTGCCCCCCACTCTGTCTCTGGGGAATCCTCTCATCATGCCTGTACCCCAATTCTGTATGCATCAATAAATATTTTTTTAAAAGTTTGTATTGTTTTCATTTTTAACCGGTTCTGAAACGACTCTGCCTAAAGACACCGTGTACAGAGGCATCTTCTACGTAGCATGTACTGCATCACCCCGGCACTTTGGGATTTTAAGTGCCCGTCTAGGTAACAGTCGCACCTGGCCTGGAAGCGCGTGCTCCTGTGAGCGGCCACAAAGCAGCACCGACGGCCTGTGTGAGTTAGGCCCTGGGCTTGCAGCATGTGGACTCTGCTTTCTTTGAGGAAACAGACTGGAAGGAGAAAAATAATTTCCTAGTGAGGGCGAGGAGTGGGGAGACCTGGGACCGAGGCAAGAACTGGCTGCCTCTGAGATGATCAGCGGAGCCCTGAAGGCTGTGCCTCAGGCGCCATGCGGGGTCCCCTCTGCACACAGGCAAGGAGGGGGAGTGAACCAGGACTCGGGCGATGGGCTCCTGGGCAGGTCGAGGGTTTCGAATCCCTGTCCGAGGATCAGTGCCCTGGTTTCGCAAGACAGGTTTGGAAGGCTCAACGCGTTCCCGTAACAGATCAGCCCCAACCTGCTGGGAGAAGTCAGATCGACCATCAAAAGCAGACTGATTTATAGTTAGCTCTCTACAGAGTGGATCAGTTTCTCTAAGGTTCAGGCACACTTCTCCAAACATTCCCTGGAAGGCTCATTCCCTTCTCTTTCCCATTCTACCACAGAAGCAGCAGCCTGGCTGAGGGGCCTGGGGGGACCGAAGCCAAACGAGGGGACACGCAGGGCCCACCTGGGGTTCTGAACTTGCTTCACTGAGCAGGGAGAGCTTCCTGCACCTGCTCACAGGCACCAGAGACCATGGGCCCCGGGCAGGGGCAGGAAGACGTGATCACAGCCCTGGGAGAAGATGCGTCAGCCAGCTCGAAGGGATGGCTGTGCAGCAGGGAGAGGCAGCGCATGCAGTTCCGAGCTACCTCACAGATGAAAGTTTTGTGGAACGGGGAGAGCGGTGCCGTGCCACGCCCTCCACCACGCTCCTGAACCCGCGCTCCAGACAAACTCGCCTGTGCCGTGGTCTTGTCGGCACAGACCGCCGGCAACGCCAGAACATGCCGCACAGCGCAGTCAGGCAGGTGCGCGGGTCACTCAGGCTCCTAGCAGTCACCCGCCAGATGGGACAGGCCGCGGCCGCCCGGCTTCGGATCAGCGGGGCAGCCTGCCAGGCCCTCGCCCCCAGTGCGGAAGAGAAGACGAGCCGCTTGTTTTCTAAGACGCCACCTCCGGTGGCCGTCCGAGACCAGGCCCGTTTGGTGTGAGGTGCCGGGCCGGCAGGCGGGCCCCTCGAACACTCAGCGGCACCTGCAGCTACGGACAGCCTGCTGGGTGACAGCTTTGCGGCAGAACTGCTATCTTAATGTTCACAACTGTCCGCAGGGCTCACTGCTGGACTCATCAGCGTTGCATCCGCCCTGCCTCGCCGATGCGGGGCTCTCCGCTGACCGGGGCCCCCGGGGCAGGGCTGGCCCGCCCGGTGGACACCTCAGACTGGAGGTGTCCAGAGCTAGTCTGACTGCTCACCTCACGGGCGAAACAGGCCAGAGGGCACGTGACTCGCCTCATCTGCACAACTAGCTGCGAGAAAAATTAGAAGCGGGTAAAGCTAAAAACAGAAATTGTTACGCACAGAAAAAGGTGCTGGGGTGTGAGAGCCCGGCAGATTGAGGTACGTCTTCAGGACAGGGAAGGGGGAGTGTCGGCTGACAGCTGGGGGCAGGCGGGTGGAGACAGAGGGGGTGGTCACGCACGAGGTGGGGTGGGAGGGGCCCAACACCACCTGTCTGTACAAGCAGGTGCGCGGTCCTGACCGGACAGGGTGGGGTCGTCCATGCTGACTGACCCTCCTGTGGCATAAAGCCAAGGTGGGTGAGGGTGATGGGCACGCTGGCCAGTGGACACGAGGGCACCGGAGTCTGTGTTCAACGGAGCCGGTGACCCAGTGTCGGCTGCACCAAGGCCAGCCCCGAGCCCCGAGCCCCGAGCCTTTGAGCCCCTGAACCCCAAGCCCGTGAGCCCTGAGCCCCTGAACCCTGAGCCTGTGAGCTCCGAGGCCCTGAACCCTGAGCCTGTGAGCCCCGAGGCCCTGAGCCCCAAGCCCCGAGTCCCTGAGCCCCTGAACCCCAAGCCCGTGAGCCTTGAGCCCCTGAACTCTGAGCCTGTGAGCCCCGAACCCTGAGCCCCTGAACCCTGAGCCTGTGAGCTCCTGGTCCCTGGGCCCTGAGCCCCGAGCCCTGGACCGTGATAAAGACCCCATTTTATGCGCCACCACACACTGGAATACGACACCTCTTAGGCCCTTACAGGACCACAAACCAACCAGCCATCTGCCCTGGAGCTACAGGCAGGCGGGCGGGAGGGCGGGAGGGAGGCTCGCTGCGCCTCAGCCCGGAGCAGCCCTCGTCCTTCCGTGTCCTCTCAGCTGTGAAGTGTGTGGGAAAAACTTCTCCCACATCAATGGCCCTGCGAAGGGTCAGCCCTCATCGCAGCAACAGCCGCCAGATGAAGAACATCTAAAAATGGGCACGGCCGGCCTCTGCCCTGCCCCACCACCTCTTCCCCGAGGCACCAGGAAGACACTCCCAACGTCCACGCAGGAACCGCTGGCGGGCCTCCCTGCACAACCCTGGTGCCAGGCGTCTGCCAGGCGGGGCCTGTGTGCCCGGCGCGAGGTGGGTGCCAGGCACGAGGGGCCTGGCGCTGGACACCACGGTGCTCCCCGGCTCCTCGGACGTCGGGCTCCCCGCGCGCCCACCGCCCTATGTCACCCTTCCTCGCCAGGGCGACAGGCACCCAACTGGCCACGGTCTCCCCAGTGCAGGGGACGCCCTGCCAGGGCAAGACCACGGCTCTCCACACGCCGCCTCTCTCGGGCGTGTCCTGCAAATGCCACCAGCTCAAGCCGTCGCTCCCGCCCCCGTTCTCTCAGGACGACCACACTCTCCCCGCCCCCCGCCCCAGTTCCACACATGTCCTCCCTGTGCCTGGAACATGCTGTCCCCAAACCCTCCGGTGACTCTCCCTCACCACGCCAGCTGAACGTCACCTCCTCGGAAAGACCCACCGTCACCCCAAAACCCACGGCTTCTGCCTGTCAGCGTGCTCCCTATGGCCTCTACTTGTCGTGAAGGCACTGACGGCGCTCGGCGACGGTGCCAGGTGACGGTGCCACCCGAGCCGCACCTGGGCTCCTCCCGGGCGCCAAGTCCCACAGAGCGGCGGGCGGTGGCCGCGGGCTTCCTCAGGGAAGCCCAGCACTCAGCCGAGTGCCCGGGCACTAATCTTCCTTGAGAAGCGCTCAGTGCTCAGTAAATATTTGCTAAAC